TATACAACATTTTGAGGGCTCCAAGGGGATGTCCACTATAGGTGACGGAGTGGACCTCCTCAAGTCCAGTGTACACCTGTAGATAAGGGCGTGGCCCTCCCGAAGTCCAGTGTATACTCCTCTTCTGCAGGTTTTGTCTGTTTGGATAGGGGAGGTTGGGTAGCTGCTCCAGCTGAAGCCCCCTTTATCGACCGTCCCAACTAAAGTTTCTCAAGGAGAACACCGCTCCACCCTCCCATCCCCAAGGAGGCAGCGCTGCTTCACCCTCTTATCTCTGAGAAGGGAGCACTGCTCCACCTTCACAGGGCTTGTTCCCTCCCTGGAGCAGGCTGTACTGCAAAGCAGGCTGGTTTCAGGGCTAATACATAAAACTTGCAGTGTAAAACAGATTTGTTCAAGACACATACATAAAACCTGCAAAACACGTTGTTTAAGGCAAAAAAAATCAGGCTGTCCTTCACAACTGTAATTGCCATTCTCAAGCAATTCTCTCAAAAAACTTGATTCTCTTTCCACTAAAGGCACTGGAATTATTGCCAAAATTAGACAATTAATAGTAAAATTTAACCCTATACAGATGGGTAGAACAAAGCCTGTATCTACTTAGGTCTCACTTGAATCAACAAAGCAAGATTTTATGAAGGGTAAGCCTTATTCTGGACTGATGATTCAGTAATAATTTTCCCCATAAATTAGGATTTAAAGACTGCATATTTCATCTGTGTTTAATTCAGGATGATACATAAGGCCAAAAAAGAATTTTTTTCTCACTTTAATGTATTCAACATTAAATGTTCTGAAGCATGATTAGATCCTTGGAAAACTGCAGAACTGTCCAAATACTGCATAGAATCTGTTTGGAATCTTTATGTTTGCTGGGAGTATCTTACAGGGAACAATTACAGAAAGTATGTGAAGTTCATATAAATGTTGAACAATTCCTTTAATTTGAAGGGTGGTAAATGTTCTACTCAGAGCACTTATTTTACATGACTAAGAGGGACAAATTACTGGAGGATAGCCAGCACCCCTCTCTCTCATTTGTAATTACATAGTAGTTTAAGCCAACTAAGCACCACGCAGCCACTCACTCCTCCCCCCTCCCCAGTGGGATGGAGAGGAGAATCAGAAGAAAAAGGTAAAACTTTGTGGGTTGAGATAAGGACAGTTTAATAGGGCAACACAAGTGAGAAGAAACAATAATAACAATCATACTAATAAAAGAGTATGCAAAGCAAGTGATGCACAGTGCAATTGCTCACCAGCCAGAACCCAGCACTCATCCAGATCCCAAGCCATAATCCCTCCTTCTCCCAGCCAGCTCCCCCAGTTATATGCTGAGCATGACTGTCACATGGTATCGAATGTCCCCTTGGCTATTTTGGGCCAGCTGTCCTGGCTGTGCCGCCTCCCAGCTTCTTGTGAAAAGCAACTCTATCCCAGCTGAACCCAGGACAATGCAATTCAGAAAGATTGCTGTACCATAAGAATAAAAAGTTAAGATAGGTATATTCTTAAATACTGTTTATACATTTGTGGGGCAGAAGGGTGTTAAGGATAAAAATTATTGCATAGCTGTTAAATCAAGTTTGTATATGAAAGCTAGAAATAGCCTGCTTGTGGAACTGAATGATAAATATAGTAACATATGGAATACCAAGCAAAATACCTGCATTTTGTCAAAATTCATGAGTCTATACCATAAGATCGGTTTAAGTTTCAGTCTCTGTAGGTAGCATGTTTTTTATTATATTTTAGTTGCAAACTTTTTTTAATCTTGTATAGATTTAGCTTTGCTTGAACGTGTGTAATATCTGTATAATAACTATAATATCAAATAAACCTGAATCTACTCATTCATCATTTGTGAAAACTTTTATGGATTATCATGAGAAACTGTCATGACATCTTTCCAAGCTAATATAGCACTGATTCATCACCCTGTAGGAATAATATGAGTGTAGGATTCAGTGTGTCTATGATACAATACTTAGCTGCACTTGGTAATGCTCTTATCTAGTGCCCTGCTCTCCCAGATAGCCAATAAAGTGAATGTTTTCTTGTTTGAATTATGGTGTTATGCTTCTGTTCTACAAAACATTCATCCTGCTGATGTCCATTAACTTCTGTTTGTTGAAAAATTGCTTATTCTAAGACAGGAAATAAGAAAGCCTAACTTGAGAGTCTTGGATACTATCACAGTGCAATTTACATAATCATGGAGATAACATGACTTAGTTCAGTGCTCAAGTGGTACAGCTTTTTTTTCCTGCCCTTAATATAGGCAGGCAGGATGGCCCTGTTTTGTTTCATGTTCTCTTTTATTATTTTACTGGAGGTGATCTCCAAAACTTGCATTTTCTTCATAATGCTGCACCTCCTGAGCAGGATTTTCTCAGGTTATAAAATGGAAAGAACGATTATTTCATCTGCGAAAGTGTTAAAAAATATTCATAGCATATTCAGTCACTTTTTTTTTTCTTTTCCAGGATTACTTACTGTCATCTACCTTTCCAGAGCAAATGGCTTTATGTTGGAACAGAGAGAGGAAATACACACATTGTAAATATTGAGTCCTTCATTCTTTCTGGATATGTTATCATGTGGAATAAGGCAATAGAACTGTAAGTGCAGACTTTTTTGCATTTATGTCCGCAATCATTTTCATAGCTGTCTTCAGTTTCATTTTTAAGAATCATTTGGTTTTACAAATATTAACAAATCTTTTGAAAACATTTTATTTTAATGAATGCATGTGCAGTATTAACTGTTTTGTTACAGGCCATTAGGAATTCAGATTTATGATAGAGACCATGTAATTATATTTTATATAAAAGAAAAAGTGATTTGGCAATCTGTTTAACTATGAAGTTCCATGAAATACAGATAATCACTAATCTCACAAATTCAGATTTTGCATTTTTTACGAGGGTAGCTTGATCACCATCTCCTCCAAACATCCTTTGAAGACAATAATGGAGTGTGTTGGCCTTAAGACTCTGTGGAGAAATTTTCTTCATCAAACTGTAGAATCATTTAGATAAGAAGGGACTTGGTCTCTAGACCAAACCTCCTGCTCAACACAGGGCTAACTTCAAAGTTAAATCAGGCTAATCAAAACCTGATGAAGTTATAGGAAAAGTAATGAGTGTCTGTTAAATGACAGTTCTCTGACAGGCTAACACAGGTGCCTGTGTCAGAGAAATGGAGGAGAGTTATATAAAATGAAATGAAATGGAGGCAGAGTTATATAAAAATCTGATTGGGATAAATATATGCTTCCTGCAAGTAAAAGCCTCAACAGAAACAAACATTTTTTTTTCTACTGTTTCCTCTGTGAGAACTGCTGTGGGCAAACTCATAGTATTTCATGCAGTTTCTGAGACATCTGCTTCATGTTGTGAGGAATATGTAACCTCTGGTAGTAAACTGAAATTCACCAAGCTGAGTCAACCCAGAGGACAGTATCTAAGAACAGGGCTACAGGCCTACAGTGGTGGATTTAATTCTCTGTCACAAGCAGAGATCACATTGAGAGCAACCACTTTTCTCCAAAATTCTCACCTCTCCCTTCCCGCCCCCCCCCGCTATTATTACTGACTTTTATTAATCACTATGTCCCCCAGCATGACAAAACTGATGCCTCATTTTCTTTCCTTCCCTCTGCCCCCACCAAACTTCATAGGCACAATCATAAAAATTGAATTTTGTCTTCAAAGGAGATAAAACCAAGGATTCAAATGGTAATCAGGATTCAGACAGTCTGCTGGTAAATCTTTTGGCCAGTTCTCAATTTTGGAATGTTTGTTTGTCCTGCCTTTGTAAGACTTTGCTGAGCTCTGCTCAGTAGTTTTGCCTGCAAAGTTAATGCTGGAAAATGTGATTTAATCAAAACCAGAATTAATATGTTCATTTTGATAAGTTCTTCAGGTGAGAAGTGTCTTAATTATTTTCTCTTTCTCACTTTGTTTTCGTGATGTTGACATATTAGAGGGGTTTTGATTCCTGTATTTTGTGTATATATACTATATTGAGTAGATAACACCTTTGAGGTTCTGAGAAAAAGGCATTTTCGTTTTGTGTACATTTGGAATTTTTTTTCCTCCAGACATTAGGATGTTTCTATAATAGTATGGAAGTAAATCTGAAAGATTTATATTAAATTGAAGCCTTCCACCAAGCTTCACTTCCTGATTCTTTCAAAATTCTTTTGGATAATTTATTTTTTTTTAATGGCCACAGCAGACATTTTTCATGGGAACAGAATAGAATGATGCCTCTCTTCAATGAAAAGTATGTGGGAAATAAGGGCCGCTTACTGACAAGTTTCAGTACTGAGTTGTTGGAATAGGCTAAATGCTGTGCAAGAAGCTACCTCTCTAGAACCTTTTAGTAAACCTAACTATCTTCTTGGTATTGCCTATGCAGGAGTACACCTAGATCTTCTGTAAATTGTGAAAGGTAATGACAACATATGGATAGGCCTTGTCACTTCAAGTACTTGGGGATGCTGCATGGTTACCATAATAGTTTCTTCTTCTAAAAAGCTAGTTTGACATGCACTATTTTGGTGACAGTTGAGCACAGGTATTCGTTTATTACTGCTTCTAGTTCTATCAATCTTAAAAGTATAACTTGACCCTTGTAAGCGATATGCTAGTCAAAGAAGACAGTATCTTCTCCATTCTTTCTCATCATGTACTTCTTGAGGAGGAATGGAGGAATCTGTCCTTGCCTGTATTACACAAGTAGACAGAGCATCTTGTGTGTCTCCAGATTAATTTCTCTGTATTAAGAGTAAGAGGCTGGTTGGGATAATAGTGATGTTTCCCACATCAGCTGCCATTGACAGATGCTATAGCACCATTTAAGTTGAAACTAGGTGACTTTTCTCGGTAATTTGAACTCTCTCTAGTAACAAACTATGATGTCTCTTCCAGTACTATTGCTTTCTTGCAGGGAAAATGTAACTTAGATTAGCTTTTAAAGGGAATGTTATTAATTCTAAGTGTACTTCATGTGGATGGGCTTAGGATAGTAGACTTTCCTTTAGAATTGTACTGAGATGAATATTTGAGAGGACAATTTTATTTTGGGCCATGGATATGTTCTTATTTTATTATATTTTTTAATCTTCACATTACTTTCATACAATCTTCACATAATATTCCCATTTTAGTATTATGGAATCATACAATAATTCATGTTGGAAGGCCTCTCTGGAATTTGCTAGATAGACCTCCTGCTCACAGTAAGATCAGCTATAAGACCAGGTTGTTCAGGGCTTTATAAGTTCTTAGGGCCTGTTGATGTCAGGTACTTTCAAAGATAAAAAATAGGAAAAGGTATGTATGCAAAACTTTAGGAACAGCTTCAGCCTTACCACAAACGATGTAAGAGGTAATAGTGTTCATAACATCGTTTTTCATCCTTAGATTGTACCATTTCAGAGTGTGGGATTAGTTTGAAGATGTTACTACTCTCTATAAAGCTCAGAAGGAGAGAGTTGTCACGGACAAGGGTTAACCTTCTGTGCAAGCAGATTTGTGTCAAATTTATTGGCAAGGAAAGACCGGTAAAAGTGATTGCTCTCCTGCTATATTCAAGCCCCCAGTTTAGATGAAGGGTTTATAAATAGAGCTTTGAGTGTGTCAGATCTGTGTGTCATCTGCACAAATAAGCCTGAAGGAGAGTTCTTCCCTCTTCATGTAACTCTCATCCTATTTCTAAAATTGCAGGTTAAGTCTACCAACATGACTTCTAATTTTTTTTCACTGACTTGTACCTATTTCTAATGAAACCTCTGTGAATTTTCATAATGTGGATTTAACTCAGGTGTCATTAAGTTTCAAGGCTTTAAAGTGAAAACCAATAGGAGATTGAACAGGTTAATATTTTTAAAGTCTGAAATGTTTTGACTTGGAATGTTAAACTATGTATTACCATACCCAAGTCACTGTAAAGCCAGATTACAACTCATTTTGTGAGAGTACAAAAAAACCCCAAACCAACTCAACCAGTAACAACAACAAATTAAAAAGAGAAACAGCTAAAATTCCAGTTCTATTACCTCTTCAGAACATAGTTGAAAAGGACTTCTATATATGTTGCTAACAGTATGGCCAATGTAACCTGAAGAGGTCAGAATACCTATACCTTTCCTCCTTCGGAAAACACCTACAAGTTGCGTTCTAGACTTTAATCATAGACTGAGTTTGTCCCTCTAAAGTCATGATGACATTACTCAGTAAATAATACAATAAATGGTATTGAGTAAGTGAAAAAAATGTGGAGCATAGAAAACACATTCCAACAATCCATTTTAGTCTGTTCATGGACTTACAAAGTTTTCAACTCCACAAAGAGTTTTGACACACTTCTTGAGATTAATTCATTCCAGAGAACACAACTCTCATCCTCAGAAAAAAAACATTGTCAGGCAGTGAGGCCCATCAAATGACTTCAAGAATCTCTTTTCTAACAGTGATTCTATTGCAGTGAAAGACTGAGGTGAAGAGGCTCAGTAGTTTCTTAGATTCTCCTTAGAAGGAGAATCAGATTTGCGTGTAAAATTTTTAGACTTTGTATATGATACAAGAAATCCCATCACCTTGTCCTGTGTGGCTACTGGTTTGGTTTTTTAGTGGGTTTTTTTTGTTACCATTTGTGATTTTGTTGCCTACTTTTGTGTCAAAATATACTGAAAGATCTGTAAAGCACTCTATTTTGGAGCGATAGTGGTTTTCTTATTATGACCTGTTCAGAAACATCTAGTGGAGATATATGTCCAAAAAATGGTTGCAATACATATTTTATCACAGGCACTATTGTCTTCTCATACAGGAGAGATCATACAGCTTGCTTAAACAGCGTCTAATATTAGTAAGAAATGAAGGCCTGAATAGACAAATAATGCAAAGGATACGTGACTTTTTTTGTTTGAGAGTTTTTTCAGTACTGAGGCATAACTGATTCTAGAAGTTACAGGAAAAAATCCTTTATAAATCATGTGCACTAAGTTGCAGTCAACATGGCCCTGTCCAGAGCTTAGAAAGAACATTAGAGTATGGGGAGTTTCAGAAACATTTTCTGTGGCAATTCTTCTCTCAGTCATTTCTATCATCTCATGCATTGTCACTGCCACAGATCACACTGCAGCATCTTTTCAGCTAAGAATAAAGAATAACTCAGAACTTTTTTCACTTGTTGTTCCTTTGTCATATAGCAGAGCTAGTCCTTTGCCAAAGATGTTTGAGGCTCATGATGCTGTTTGGTTTCCTAATCTCTAAGAAGCAACCAGTTTCTCTCTGGTTTTCTACTCTCTAATAAGCAACTCGTTTCTCTCTTTTCCTTCAAAATGTTTGGAAACAGGCCTGGAAGAGAAAAATAGTCAATGAGCCCAGTGTGTCTCCATTTACTCCAAGTACAGTGAGATTAATTTTCTCAGCCTGGGTTTGGAAGGTCATCTGCTGTTGGGAAGGAAAGGAAGATCTTGATATGAGTCCACTGAACTCCAAAAATGAGAAATCTTCATTGTAATCTCCCTTCCACAGCATGCAGATTCCATGTTTGAACACCCCATTAACTAATGAATGAATAACTGAAACTTGTCAAAATTTATGGG